ATAAGTTCACGTTTTTCTGCTTAATCCTCAAATCATCTAGAAGACCCCACAACCACAATGCTTGCTTCACTCCCTCCGTCATGGCCATGTACTCGGCCTCTGTAGTAGAAAGTGGCATTGTAGCCTGCAACATCGATCGCCAACTAACTGGAGCTCCATGTATCCTGAATATATAACCAGTAGTAGATCGCCGTCTATCTAGATCACCCGCATAATCAGAGTCAACAAACCCATCAATCTGACATGTATCTCCACCAAAATACAAACTCGTATCCGTGGTATCTTTCAAGTACCTCAGGACCCATTTTACTGCTTCCCAGTGCGCCTTTTCCGGATTCGCCATGAACCTGCTGACCACACTAACCGCCTGTGAAGTATCTGGACGTGTACACACCATGACGTACATCAAACTGCCAACTACACTAGCATAAGGAACACGCTCCGTGTGTGCCTTATCTTCCACTGTAGTGGGAGATTGTTTACCTGAAAGCCTGAAGTGTGGAGCCAATGGAGTCACCACCGACTTTGCACTTTGCATCCCGAACCTTGCGATCACCCGCTCTATGTAGCTCTTCTGACTCAAGAACAATCGCAGATTCGTCCGCTCTCTTCTAATCTCCATACCCAGTATTTTCTTAGCAGTGCCTATGTCCTTCATCACGAACTCTTTACCAAGTTGAGATTTTAACATATCTATCTCCACCCTGCTCTTCGAAGCAATAAGCATGTCATCCACATACAAAAGGAGATAGATATAATCACCTCCACGAAGCTTCCGAATGTAAACACAACAATCGTAATTGCTTCGGAAAAACCCATGCTTTAGCATGAAGGGGTCAAATCGCTTGTACCACTGCCGAGGAGATTGTTTCAGTCCATAGAGTGACTTCCTCAAGCGACATACATGATGCTCCTTATCCTCAATCTTATAGCCCTCAGGTTGATGCATGTAGATCTCTTCATCCAAGTCTCCATGTAAGAAGGCCGTTTTAACATCAAGTTGTTCCAGCTCAAGATCATCATGAGCAACAATACTCAATAGCACCCGAATAGAAGTGTGTTTCACCATCGGAGAAAAGATCTCATTGTAATCCACACCCTCTCTTTGTGCAAACCCTTTAGCCACTAGCCTCGCCTTGTACCTTGTACCACCGAGCTCTGAAGGATATTCTTTTCTCTTATACACCCACTTATAACCAATAGCTTTTCTTCCTACGGGCAATAGGACCACCTCCCATGTTTGGTTCTTCCGAAGAGATTTCATCTCCTCCTCCATCGCAGCCAACCAACTCTCACTATCATTATCCCGAATAGCTTCCTTAAAGGATACCGGCTCATCTTCCTCCACTGAGAGTGCGTATTCCACTAAATTAACCTGCCCATAGTGCTTCAGGGGTTTATCATCCCCCATCTTCAGTACCTGCTTGTATGCTCGCATTGGCCTAGTGGAAGCCAAACTATCCTCGAGCTACTGTGCTGAACCTCCTCTTGCTCAAGCTCATCATCTACCTGATTTTCCACTTGAACATGACTAGAACCTGGTTGGTCTTTAGGTTCTATCTCAATAACCTGGGACTTTAAAGTCCCAACAGTCCCAACACCATCATCCTAGGGTGCCCTAGCAATCATGGATTTTTTATCAAAGGTAACGTCCCTGCTGATCACGAACTTTGAATCTTCTGTACACCAAAGGCGGTAGCCTTTTACACCCTTTGCATACCCCAAGAATATCGCATTCTTAGCCCTCGCGTCAAGCTTTCCCTCGTTGACGTGATAGTAGGCGGTACATCCGAAAATTCTGAGCCTATCATAATCTGCATGTTCCCCTGACCACACCCTATAGGGTGTATCACCATCCAATGTCGAATGTGGAGAACGATTCACAATATAACATGCTGTAGCCACCGTTTCTGCCCACCATTCGTTGCCCAATCTAGCATAAGATCACATACTCATTGCCTTCTCCCGCAATGTTCGGTTCAGTCTCTCCGTGACCTCGTTCTGCTGTGGTGTTGACTTGACTGTCCAGTGTCGAACAATGCCCTCCTGATCGCAGAACTCCTTAAAACCACCGTCTGTATACTCTGTACTGTTATCAGATCTCAGTGTCTTCAATTTCTTACCTGTCATGTTCTCAATTATTGCTTTCCACTTCTTGAATGTGTCGAATACCTCATTCTTATGCTTAAGAAAATAAATCCAAGCATACCTAGAATAATCGCCTATGAACGAGACAAAATAACTGGAACCACCCTTGGAAGTTGTCTGAGCCAGACCCCAAACATCTGTGTGTACATAATCTAGTATACCTCTGCTGTTGTGATTGCTTTTCAAGAATTGGACCATGTGTGCCTTTCCATACACACAATCCTCGTAAAAATTCATGCAAGGTTTCTTCCGATTCTTCAGCAAACACTCCTTACCAAGCAGAACTAGACCCTTCTCTGACATATGCCCAAGCCGTCTATGCCATAACCGTGTGTGCTCACATGGGTCTCCACCACTTCCTTTAGTTCCAACCGCTGCATCTCTTGTCACCATCGTACCCGAGAGAGTATATAGATTACCGTGACGAACACCCTTCATCACTGTTAGGGAACCTCGAACAACCTTCTTCACTCTGTTCTCTGTAACAATCTTACAGTCACCGGAGTCCAATGCACCCACTGAGATAAGATTCTTCCGTAAGTCGGGAATGTGTCGCACGTCCGTTAGGGTTCTGACCGCTCCATCATGCATCTTGATTTTTATATCACCGAGCCCCACCGTTTTACAAGCATGGTTATTCCCCATCAATATGGTTCCACCATTAATGATTCTATAGGTAGTAAACCACTTCCTATTTGGGCACATGTGGTAAGAGCAACCCGAATCAAGTATCCACTTACCGGAGATATCTTCGCCACCCGTAACAACATAGCATTCTTTATCGCTCCCTTCCTCCGAGGCGTAACTCGCCTCTTCCTTGCCTTCTCTTCTCTCGGTCTTGTTATTGTTCTTCTTCCATCCTACTCTCTTGTTAGGACAGTCAACCTTGAAATGCCCAAGCTCACCGCATTTGAAACACGCCCTTCCCGTAAGAGGTCTCGATTTCGATCTAGACTTTCCTCCCTTACCTTTTTCTCGCTTATTGCTCCTTCCTCTAGCAAACAATCCCTGTGCTTGTTCTTTATTACCACCAGTAGTCATGTCACTGGTTACAATCTTCCAAAGATTATCTGCTAGAAGTGCTGTTCTAATCTCATCCATCGTCAAATTGTCTCCCACAAGCATCAGTGTTTGCACCAGGTTCTCATAAGACTTCGACAGAGATAGAAGTAGTAGAAGAGCCTGATCCTCGTCTTCTACAGTCACATCGATGTCCTTGAAGTCCGATATAATCCTATCAAACTTGTTGATGTATTCCCGGATTAATGAGTCATCTTCCATCTTGTAAGTATACAATTTAGATTTCAAATAGATCCGGTTCGTTAGACTCTTTGTCATGAAGGTGCTTTCTAACTTCGACCACACACCCGCAGCCGTTTCCTCTCCATCTACCATGAAAGCTACATCCCTTTCAAGGCAAAGAATAATTGACGCACGTGCTTCCAGATCCAGCTCCTCCCAATCCTCATCAAACATATCTTTGTGCTTCTTCTCTTTTCCAGCCAAAGCTTTATGCAATTTCTACGAAATCAACGTGTTCTTCATCTGCATCCTCCAATAGGAAAAATCATTCTTCTCATTGAATTTTTCAATCTCGTATTTTTCCACTTTAACTGTTTTACTTGTTGACGTCATTCTCCGCTTGTATTAATAAATTCGCTCCTCTCAGGAATTCCAACAAATATCTTGTGTTCACCACACAAAATCACGCACCATCTCAGATCAGAAATTCTACCACCTCCAATCTGAATAAAGGGCTCTGATACCAATTATTGGGCGCAGAGTCACGCCCACCGCCGCGGAAGTGATATCACCTGAGAGAAAGCCCTGGCTTTTGTTGTCACGAAAACACAAGTCAACCTCTATATTCTTGTTTCTCAAAGAAAACTAGAATAAGTAGTAAAATTCTTGTTTCTTAAAGAAAACTAGAATAGAAAGTGAAATATTTTAACAAAGTGAAATATGCACTCTTCCTCTCATCAGTTCTAGGACTGAAATGTCGAGGGAACCTACAAGCAATAGCCAACACTCTTTAAAAACAATAAAGACACGAACTTTACGTGGTTCGGCAAAATTGCCTACGTCCATGGGAGGGGTGAGGGGAGATTCCACTATGAGAAGAACACCGACGACTTGTACAATCCACAAGCTCGTCTCAAAAAAAATCTGATTTTTACCCAAAAATTAACCTCTCTTTTCTCTCTCCTCAAGATCTCTTTTTAGATCTAAAAAAAACTCCCTTTTTTCTTAGCCGCCAAACCCTCTGATTTTTCTCTCTGCGTTTTTTTTACAGCCGAGTAAGCCCCCAGCACAAACCCTAGGGGATCGTTCCTATTTATAGGAAACCGAAACGCGGCTGTAAACGCGAAAAAAAAACTCACACACATGGAAAGACACACCCACATAGGTGGGGGGCCCACTCACATTTACCAATATTTTCGTCATTTCTACACAAGTTGATTATGAATTGAGATGTTCAAGAGTATTATTTCACTACCAAATTTGTACTAAATAAGTTAATCTCACGTACAGGTCGAAGATTGAATAGCTATGTATTCATGATTAGTTCAAAGAAGGCTAAGTATCATAAAAACCCCACTTAACTTTGGATGATTATGGAAAAAAGTTAAGGTTTTTTTTTCATAATCATCCAAAGTTGAGTGGGGTTTGCTGATATTTACCCATAATAAGAATGTATAAGTGTTTTCTTTTGCAAAACAAGAATGCTAGCAATATTTTGAAACCAATTTAAATAGGTGATATCTTAGATTACGAGTAATAATCCATTTAAATAGTGCAATATATCATTAGGTAGAACAGAATATGTCACCAAAAAATTAGCCAATGTTCAAGATTTGGTTCATGAACCTGAGAGCATGTGGCAAGCAAACTTCATAATGCTCCATACTAACTTCTGTTTCTTTTCCACTTCCCTAATAACATGTTAAGTGTACTCTATAGTACGGCACTTATTTAAGTAAGCTTCCTTCATAGATTCCAAGGAACCTTTCTGTTTGACATTTCATGAGTTGATGGACTCAAATATATAGAAAGTTGTGCTCAATACATAATAGCTTAACAACCACGATCGTCGATCTGTAGCAGTAGAACAACCGGTATAAAACTTGTTTTCAAGTAAGGCCAAAGATGAAATTATAGCCGCCAATCATCGTCATAACTTCAGAGTTTTGATACAATGCAAGACGGGCTTTAAATTGACCTTACGGGAGCGTACTCGCAACTAGCCCTTTGTAACAACTTAGAGAGAAGACAACTTGGTCTCTAATACATTGAACGTAGGAATTAGCTTGCCTGTCACCATTATTGCTCTTGCATATGCTCCTTCTTTCTTATATCAAGGCAGTAGCTTAGACGCCAATAATTAAGTACAAACTCTGGCAGCAAAGAGAGAAAATGCCATAATACAGAGTGAGGCCAATAGGGAGTGCATCTCGGCTCGTGCCCAATCCAGCTCAGGGCATGACGTGCGTAAGTATCAGGTGAAGGCACAAAGAAGGATGATTTTGTGATTGTTGACATCTTTGTTGCTACGTACATTGGTACCTGTGTTCAAGAAAATGTTTATTTGTTAAGAGTTTACGCTTGAGCATGGATTTTACGAGCAAGGGTAGAGGCTCATATTGGTAAGTAATGAGAACATTTTGAGAATTGAGCACGTTAACTGCCAAAGTTTTACCTGGCACTGGACATCTATTCCCTTCTTCTTGTACTCCACATAGAGGGATCTTGAGAGCTGATCAATGTACCTTCAACAATACACAAATCTATCACAAAAAATTGAAAATGATTGAAAATTTTGAAGTATTAGAGAATCATGTATTATGCTCAGGGAGCATATGATGCCTCCTGACATTGTGTGTCTAAGTGGGCCAAGAACAGGTTGGCCATGCATTTATGTTGAGGGTGCCCATGTTAATGAGCTCAACCAGCAAAATATTGTGAAGGGTATATTTCACATAAACCTGGAAAGGCCGTCGGTCCATTTCGAGAGAACACGGAAAAGACTTCTAAAAGTGTCGCAAAATTCCATAATTTGCGTTATGTTTTCGAGATATCTGACAAATGTGAGGGTTACTAGAGAATTTTTTTGGTGTTATTTGACTTATCGGTTCATGGGGAAGCGCACGATGAGTGTGGTTTCAATTAAAAGAGGGAGGGATAATTCATGGAATCTATTTCTAACAAAGAAATCGAGCCTCGACAAGATCTCGACGAATAAAGATTGGGGAAGCTTCTCTATTTGAACCTCACAACGGGCCAGCGGCTGCCATCATCTGCTCGTGCTAGCTTATTTTCCATTGGGGAGCGAGAACCGAGACGAGAGATTAAGAGAGAGAATGAAGAAGAAGGGCAATTGGGGATAGTTTTTCGGCAACAAAACCCTAGACTTTGGAAGAAATTAGAAAAGCTCGAATTTGAAATATGTGGATAGCTTAACCGGTCGCTTATGTGGCCGATCCGACCGGTTTGGAGTCTTTGACTATTTTTCCTAAAACCGAACCAAACTGAATTAGGGAGGGAACAAAAAGGTAATTTTAATTTGGATAATGTTTGCTCGCAGTTTATTGTTTTTAAAACATTTTTTTAACTATATAAGAGACAGAGCGGGAGTAACAAAATGGATCCGTAAACAAGCAAAAGAATAAACCGAACAGATAAATGAAACAGTAATAAGGTAATTTCTATCTCAATCCATGTCTTCATCCATTAACATAGGTAATTTTAATTTTCAAATATTAAAAAAAGGTAATATGTATAATGCATGGAAAGATAGAGAGAGAATGCCGCTAAAGATTTAGGAAAGATCCTCCTCCTGTCATTTCCTCGAAATCATCTCTCTCCTCAATTTCTTTCTCTTTAGGGGCTGTTTGGTTCGTTTCCTAAAAACCAAGAAAAGAAAAAAAAGCATGGAAATCAATAAATTTTGGTTTCCATCATTTTCCACCCTTAGAAATCTCCCACATCAACCAATAATATGGGGATAACTCATCTTATCTCATCTTATTTCTTATTTTTAAAAATAAACTAAACACTAGAAATGGGTCACATTAATCAACTCATCCAACTCACCTCACATCATCTCATCTCATCTACTACCATCTTTAAAAATTACTCACATCATCCAATAATATGGTAACAATTCATCTCATCTCATTAAAATTTTCCTTCCATCCATTTCCTCTAAAAAAACAAGGAAATTGATTTTTCTAAGTATGCGTCACATCATCCAATAATATAATGACAACTCATCTCACCTCATCCATTTTCTTAGTTTTAAGAATGAACCAAACACAAGAAAAGAACCTAAACAAGGAAAATCTTTTCCTTATAAGTTTTTTTCTTATTTTTTTAGCCAACCAAACATAAGAAAAGAACCTCAAAATATGTTTTCTTTAAAAATCACTCACATCATTCAATAATATGGTGACAACTCATCTTAACTTATCTCTTTTTTACTTCTAAGAAGTGAACCAAACACAAGAAAACATCCAATTATGGAAAATGTGTTTCCTTTTCTTTACTTTCCATGTTTTTTTAGCGAACCAAACAGCCCCTTAACAAATAAGTCTTTATCAGCTATCATTCTTGCCGCTTATATTCATCTCTTGCTGCCCCCCTGTTGAGCTCTTTTCTAGGCCTTACTATGAGTTCTCCACGAGCAAGTGAGTGCTATGAGTTCTCTATTACACATTATAGTAGTTCTTTTGGCACAATAAGAACAAAACAAACACTCACTTGCTGGTGGAGAACTCATAGCAAGGCCTAGAAAAGAGCTCAACAGGGGGGAGGGGGGCAGCAAGAGATGAATATAAGTGGCAATAATGGTAGCTAGAAAAGAGCTCAACAGGGGGGAGGGGGGCAGCAAGAGATGAATATAAGTGGCAATAATGGTAGCTAATAAAGTCTTGTTTGTTAAAGGCAATAATGGTAGCTAATAAAGTCTTGTTTGTTAAAGGGAGAGAAATTGAGGGGAGAGATGATTTTGGGGAAATGACAGAGGGAGGATCTTTCCTAAATCTTTAGCGTCATTCTCTCTCTATCTTTCCATACGTTATACATATTTTATTTTTTCAATATTTGAAAATTAAAATTACCTATGTTAATGGATGAAGCCATGGATTGAGATAGAAGTTAGCTTATTAATGTTTCATTTATCTATTCGGTTTATTCGTTTGCTTGTTTATGGGTTCCATTTTGTTACTCCCGCTCTTTCTCTTATACAGTTAAAAACTATTTTAAAAATAATAAACTGCGAGTAAACATAATCCAAATTAAAATTACCTTTTTGTTTTACCCCTTAATTCAGTTTGGTTTGGTTTTAGGAAAAATAGTCAAAAACTCCAAACCGACTGGACCTGCCACATAAGCGACCAGTTAAACTATCCCCTGATTTCAAATTCAGACTTTTCTAATTTCTTCCAAAATCTAGGATTTTGCTGCCAAAAAACTATCCCTAACTGCCTTTCTTCTTCTTTCTCTCTCTTAATCTCGTCTCGATTCTCGCTCCCCAATGGAGAATAAGCTAGCGTGAGCAAACGAAGACGGCTGTTGTGAGGTTCAAATAGAGAAGCTTCCCTAATCTTTACTTGTCGAGACCTTGTCGAGGTTTGATTTGGAATCTCTTTGCTCTACAGCCCCAGTTTCTAGAACAAAGATGTAAACACTAAAAAAATACCAAGATACAAATGAAGGTCGTACCTTCATTACAAACAGACGAGGATCATTATCATGACGAACTTTGTCTCATCAGTGAAGACGAATCTCATTTGGAAGCTCATTTGGAAGCATCGAAGCTCATTGTTAGAGACCAAGTTCGAAACTCGTCGTTGGAAATGAGGATCAAAGTTCGTCAGATGACGAAGCTTGTCAGTAAAGACGAAGTTCGTCAGACGAAGTTAGTCAGTGAAGACAAAATTCGTCAGAAGAAGCTCATCATACTGCAAAGCCTACCTCTCCGGACGAACCTCGCTGCGCATTGAGGCTTGTCTAAACTGACGAACCTCACCACACAGCGAGGCTCGTCATCCACATGAATGTCGGCTGTAACGGTCTTGAAGACCCAGTCAGCCCACGTCGGTTACGTGCTAAGAGCCTATAAATAGCCATGAGCAGCTATAAAAAACCCAACTTTTGGATCATTGAAGATTCCAAGCAGATCTTTTGCGCACAAGTCTAAGACCCGAACCTCGGCTCTTGCAGCCTAAATCATCGTCAGAAGCTTTCACGATCTTGATCTGATCGTCAATGAGAAGCAAGCTTGACTCAAGCATCGAGTGATGCATCCTTTCGCCACGCAGAGCCCACGTTAAACAAAAGAGAAGTCAAATTAATCTTCTCTTCCTCTGTACTCGAGAGAGAGCGATTGTAAGGGATTCTTACTAAGTGATAGAACCCATTCTTAAAACAAGAGTCAATCGTATATTTTTTGACCCTACAGAAGATCGAATGAACTAGAAAGTGTAATAGAGAAACCACGAGAAGAGCAAAGATCGAATGAACTAGAAAGTGAATTATAAGAAAAGTAATACCAGACCAAAGAACCGAAATTTACATGGCTCGGAAATCGCCTACATCTATCCCTTTTTATGCCGAGATTATACAATATTATGTCTTTCTCGTGAACCTCACACAATCCGCAATAGACACTCTCAGTCTCACGGAAAGAACTTCACAAATATTAGATTTCCTGAATAGAAAAAATCTACAAGAAAATCGGAATTACCGGCCTTTGAAATTTGATTTTGGACAACTGGCACCTATTCAATGCACTTTAAACCCGACCTGACCTGATTTTCTACCATTGGTTAGTGATGTCAAACATAATTATTTACATTTTGGTATGTTTATATTTCATTAAGTATGGCTAGATTATATTTTAGAATATTATATTATGTATATCACCATCCGGCAATGTCACTCTGATAAATACTACTTATCACCAATATCTGCTATCAGATATGTATTTTGACCATCCGATAAATCCCCGATAACCGATATTTAAAACCTTGGTTCATTTGACATTGCACAGAAGTTGAAGACATTCATGGAATCTATTTCTAATTTTTTTCGACTTGAGTGTAGAAACTGATTTCCCTACTACGAGAAATACACCAAGAAAAATTTACTAAGGCTGTGTTTGGCAAAGGGATAAATAGGGGGTTAAGTGGGTTTATCCCTCTATTAGCCTGCCAAACAGAAAAAAAAGGGGAAGGGTTAACAAACCCTCACGTGATCTATTTTGTCCATTTAACCCGTCATAAGAGAGGATAACTATTCCGCGTAAAAACGCGGAACAAGGCTTGTTCGGCTTCTATCGCGAGGGTAGGCGGAGGAATTTTTCTAGTTCCAGATCTCGCAGCGGAATTAGGGGAACCGTTGCAGCTAATTTCGGAGAAGAAAATCGTTCAGTTGTAGTGAAATTCGCAGCAAAGAATTTTCCCCTCAAAATTGTTTCCCTCTACTTCTTTCCCTCCAGAATTTTCCCTCTATTTTTTTCACCTGAGAGGGCTATTAATAGGAATATTTGAGGGGGAACAAACAAGAAGAAGCTAGGGTTTTCAGCAGATTGGGGATCTCAAGCGACAGGAGGCAAAGAAAAGTGAGGTATGTTGATTTTACAAATATCGACTTGGTTTCAAAATCTTTGCCATACAAACATGATGTTTTATGAATCTCTTTGTTTGATTTTGCAATATCGGATCTGAGTTTGTGGAAGAATCCCATGGCGGAAGTAGGTTTAATAGGAAAAAGAGAAGATAATGCTAACCTTATCTGAAATCCAATTTTGTACTTATATTACTTCGAAATATTAAGCTGATCTCATTTTTTTGCCCTTTTGTCAAATTTATCAAGTTAAGGCAGTCAATTACATTTTTATCTGAGGGGGAAATGCCAATTTTGTAATTAAGGGGATATATACCTATGACTTCAATTTTTATCTGTCCTATGACTTCAATAACATTTGTCCTAGCTCTCTCAGGTGATGTATCACTTCAATTTTTATCTGTCCTATAATAAATTTGACTACCTGGTCTTAAGGGGATATATACCTATGTAAACTGAGGGGGAAATGCCAGTTTTGTAATTAAGCAAAGTTGCTATCTGGGTTTGGAGAGGTCTATTATCACCAAGGATCATTACTGAGCTTTTAGATTAATTAATCTTCAAGCTTGAAGCTATTTTGTAATTGTATAAAAGCAATTTGAGAACATAATAGAACCAGTGAGACAGAGTTAGCGTTATATCTCTTTGCAAACCTGTTAATTACATGACATAATTTTTTGACAAGTTTAACTAGTAGTATGAGCCTATATTATGATACATGACTAATGTTAAAATTATCGTGATGGAGTTTTTTTTGGGGGTCTGATTTGGGGTTTGAGTGAAATTTCTCTGTGAGTTTTTCAACGGGTTCGGAGGAATTGGATTTCTTGAGTTTGGAGTGGTCGAGAAATTTGTCGCCTTGTTGGGGTTTTAGTAAATCCCT